ATATGCTAGAGTATTTCAGATCTTTATTAATGATTTCAATATATTAGTTTGAAATTATAGTCACATGCATTCACTTTTTGCTTTTTGCTTTCCTTTTACTCCTCTTGCCGATAAGAATCTCAGAAGGGAAAAGTGACTGTGACCTTTATAATCCTTGCTCATCTCAGCACTCTTTTCATCCAGGGTTTCTCTGCAAACAAAGCAGCAATTTGCTCTGGCTCCAAATGATAAATAGTGTTTACTATATTGACAAGTTTAAACAGCCATTGGTTAGATATCATAGATGCTGGTTAGTATTCAGCATGCATGACAGATTATTTACTAGGAAAACTTTTCCACTGGCAATTAAGCTGACTGAAACACAAATATAAACCTATGCTTAGAATTGCAACTTCTGCTCTTTAAGCACTGAATGGTTTTTCCAAGGAGTAGGGGAATAATTGAAGTCATTTCTGTATGCACATTGAAAAATGCAATCCTATGCATGTTGCGAGGGTGTAGGCTCAATTAAGCATTGTGGGACATTATTAAGTCAACATATGTCTCTGTTCCATGATCAAAGATCCTTACACATTTAGCAGAATTATCCTTTTTAAACTATGGCATTTTCTTCTAAGTAAATGTACTGTATATTGTAAACATCCCCCAGGAGTGCGTGGAACTATGGTATATTAATATGTCCTGGAAAATGTAAGGAGAAATCTGAAACTGTTTCATATGCCTCCTCCTCCTCCTCCATTAATGGGCAGGATGAAAGAAAACAAGCTGAAACTGAATTCAGGAAAAGTGGAAGTTTCCTGTTGGTTAATAGGAAACTGGAGAGTCAACCTGTTTTGGATGGAGTTAAAGGTTCATCATCTGGATGATCCAGATGATCATCTCATCAATTCTTAGCTGTTTTTGGATTTTTACAGCAAGGACCACATTTGTACAATTAGAGGAAGTATGTGAGTTGCAACTATTTCTGCTCATATTTAGTGATAATTATCCATGCCTAGATTAAATTTTGTGTGGACTGCTGCAATGTACTCTAAATGGAACTATATTTGAAACAAATCTGAAAATTGCATGTGGAGCGTAGTACCTACTTCAGCTGGTGCCAACTGCAAGTATTATATGATGCCATATTGAAGGATCTGCACGGCCAATTGCCTAATAGGCACAATTTAAATTAGTATTACTGACCTTTAGAACTGTAAATGGCTTAAGACTATCAAAAGCCAACCTGTACTTTATAAACCTGCTTGAGCATGCCAGGTTGCAGAAGACACGTTAAGATGTTCTTAAGATGTCCCGTTTGTTCAAGGCTAACTTTGTAGGGGAGGATTCACTAGGCTTTTATTAATGAATGAATGATTGCACTGGTGTTAATGTATAGGTCTGAATTTTATTTGTTTATTTGTGTTTAGATAAGGTTGTGCAAAACATTCAAAGGAAGCTCTCTGCAAAATGTCTGCAAAGCATCTCACTTCAAAATGGGAAGCACCTGCATCTTCTGGAAGGCTTGGCACAGTTGCTTCTTGGGCCTTCTTCGGTTATGCATACCAATGAGCTTGGCAAATTCACACTTTTCAAATGCTTTGCACAGTCTTGGTCTACATTTTCTTGATCATTAATCAATGGTGTGCTCAAATTAAGTAGACTGGTGGAATAGAAATCAAATACTGTACATAAATAAATTCTGTGCCTTTGGAGAATAGGGTTTAAATGTTCATCATGAATGGGGAGAAAAAATAATAGGTAAATTAGAATGAAATTTAAATGCCCGTTACTTGATTTTTTTAGGAAACTTGGCATGATTTATCTCTTCCTCTTTTTCCTGTCTCCAGCCTCTGCACTGATTGACTGCCTCTAAATATATTGTTTGACTACAATTCTGAGGCAGAAGGTCACTGTTCTGAAGACTAGTTGTGCACATTCAGCCTAATTGAATCCTAAATTTTCCTAAGAGGAATTATTTAAACATCTGTTATACGATCAGTAGCAGAAAAGGCTAATGCAGTGGAGAGCTATTAATCGAGCTATAGTTTCCTGGTTACGGAAAATAATATTTCTGCTTTATTGGTCTAGTTCTGGTCACTGCATTTGAAGGAAGACACAGTAATTTATAATGAGTTCAGAGAAAGGTAAAACAGCCTAATACTCCATCTTACAGTATCCATTTTATTGGTTCTCCCCTGAAGGTACATTGGGGGTGAAAATGGAGCTGGGATCAGTGGAGGAGTAGCCTCATTTGTGGCAATGTCTTTCATTGGTTTTATATTCGGAGGACAGAAAAAGAATATAAGACAGGCTAGTCCCAATCACCTTTAGATGACAAATGGACCTATTACTAGGAATCATAGTTTACAATTACACTCAACACTCACCTTTAACCACAGTATAACCCATAGCATGGTTAAAGGTGGGTGCCTTCAATGTAATTTTAAAGGTGCAAGTTCATATTTCATGATTCAGCAAACAAAATCTGTATCCCTTAAATGACTGTCATTATTTTGCTTTACTCTTATTAAATGAAGATGTTCTATACATCCAACATACTCAAAGGCAGCTGTTACAAGTATTAAAATCGTGATAAAGTATCTTTCCTAGCAGTTTTAGGCTATAGATTCAAGAGGGGAAAAATGGAATATCAACATATTTTTCTTTTGCTTTAATTTTGACTTGTATTAGGCAATAGAATGTTCTAGTAGTTTTTATATTGAATAAAAGGGAATAATTGTTACTCAAATGACACACAGAAGCAAACTTTTGAGCACAATATTCTTGAACAATAACTGCATAGAAGAAAAGTCGGTCCATAAGATTCAGGATTCCATACCTGAAAGGCAATTATAGAAATCTTGGGGTGGGGTAGGACACAACATTTGAAAACATAATTGAGTACATGATCCCCAAGTATGTTATTAAAAAATGCTAGCTTAGTTAACAATACTAAATTACAGTAAGGAAAAAAAGGTATTGCTATATCTGCAGTTCTCAGTGAGACACCACATACAATCTGAACCATTCTCCACCTCCAAGTCTAATAAAGCATTCCAGTCCAAAATTATCTCATAAAAGTCTAAGGGAGTCCTTCTGTGTTAGAATAGAAACAGGGCTTGGAAGCAATGACATTTGAAAACCAATAAAACTCCAATAAAGTGCATTTATGGTTCCTATCACAAGGTTTTTGGCTTGTCTGTTCTTGATGTTCCAAGTTAGAGCTTGTTTCACTTTTTTGATATTACAAAAATAATGAAGACACAGGTTGAATGCTATTCCTTGCAGAAGTCATTTTCTCTTTCTCCTATTCTCCCTCCCTCGTAAATACAGCTGCAGTTTCATTTGTCCTAATGTTACAGTTACTTCTAATTTTAAAATGAGGCCTTGCTGCATAAATCAGAGTTTACTTGTCTCCCAATCCTGAAAAGAGAAGAAAAGACTATCAGGCATGAATCATATTATACACATTGACAGTTTAATGATCACAAATCTTTAGAGCTCATCTGAAATCTGGTCTTTTTTAGAATAGTATTACTGCCACCCAGAGAGGATCTTAGAGACTGAAGGTTGATTATAAAGGGCTCCTTTAACATACAACTATGAAGATAAAATTATTTACTAACTACATAGTAATATTCCAGGACAGCAAATATGTTAGAATGTAAAGTTACTCAAAAATGATAGTTAAAATTCCAGTTTATTTAGTTTTTTACAAAAGAGGAAATGCTACTGATGCAGTAGGATACTCCAAGAGAGTATAATCACATGACTATCTTCCTATTTTAATCACTGGTCTGCACATCTTTATATTTTAGAAAGCTACTAAGTGAGATTTGGTGTTCTTCAACTTTTTTGGGGGTCCATTTGTAGAAGACATTACTTCCACTAACCTATGCACCCCCAGACTGTGATATTAAAGAGGGAGGTAAAATTCAAGAGGAATAAAATCTGCAATGTAAAACAGGGTGAATCATGGAAGGTTAGGTAAAAGTTATTCAAATGATAAAAATCTGAGCATTTAAGAAGTAGCTTGCCTGGGTACCTAGTGAGTTCTTCTGAGAATGGCTACCATAGCCAATAAAAATGATCTCTCTTACTACTGCCTGTTTATCTCAGATGGTGATACAACTGAGAAATGGACTGTAATGGAATGACTCAGGTAGTCAGATTCAACAGAGTGGAACTGGCACTGGCAGACAGATCGAAACTCAATTCAATCCCTCAGAAGTGTTACAGTAAATAGCATGAGAAAAAGATAAAACTATTACAAATAACAAGTGTAGTGCAATGGGCCAGAATAGAGATCTTCTATGCAATTTGGAAGCAACCATCCAGGTAGAATGGAATTTATAATAATTGCATATTTCAACATTAGTTTATTATGAAAAACACTATAGTTGATGCAATTTCATCTATGGTTGATGGATTGAAAGCTGCTAGAGGGCAATTACATCTTTGAGCCAAAGTCGTCTTGCCACAACTGGAACTTCTAAAGGAAGAACCTCTTGAGTGGCTCTCCCATACAAATTTCTTTTTTTTTGGACCAGAGTTTTAAGCAGCTCTGTGCAGCTGAGTCTGTGATAATTCAGACCTTCTTAAGACTGCCTTGCACTTTCTTCAGACAGAAAAGGATAAAACTTCAAAAGTTTGACTGCCTGGTACTATATATTTGAAAATGGTGGTGTGCATCATCTTCATTCTGATCAAGCCATCTTCAGGGAATCGGCTTTGGGAGTTCGTGCTCATAGTCAGGATAGGTCAGCAGCCATGTATCACTCAGCTCCTCCTTTTCTATAAATAATAAAGTGGATTCTAAAATGAATGAAATCAGTTAAGTTTATGGAAGCAGATTCTTCTCTCCTACTGAAAAACTTTATGAATGGAATAGGGATCCTTTTCAACTATGTGGGTCAGGTATGCTCGAGCTGGCTTGTACTGATTTAAGAAAATCTATTGTTAAATTTTCTGGAATTTTGTGAGCTGGTTGAGGGCAGAGCAGAGCTGCTATGACTAGCATTATGCTGCTATCTCTATCTACCTATCTATCTATCTATCTATCTATCATCTATCTATCTATCTATCTATCTATCTCTCTATCTATCTATCTATCTATCTATCTATCTATCTATCTA